CCCCCGGTTATAAAGAATCTTTTAACAGACAATATTTTTGTAGTTAAAACTACTAGAAACCTAATTTACGAAGTAAAAAGGCGAAAAGGTTGGAATTAGGCACGTGACTGGTATTAGGGACATCCTATAAATACCTACCATAATTTATTTACACATATTTTTTTTTTCAAGATTTGTGTGCCGGAAAAAGTTCACTTACTTACGTACAGACATTGGAACGTGAACACACAGAAAACATTTATAAACAATATAATCGGATTTCAGAGATCTAAAAACAATAAAAAATTCACATAATATTGACTTCGACTTGGATATGTAGGATCTCTGATCAATGCGATCGATAAGTAAGGAAATATATTAAGCAATATACTTTCATTAAAAACATCGACGCGACTCCACCGCCACATTATTTTATCGCAACTGGCCAATCAAAATAAATATAATTGTTAATTAACATATTAAACCGATTATTTAAAACGTGATATGGCTGAATTATAAACATACTGATGGTACTCGTAAAATCCTACACGTATGCAAATTAGTTGATTGCGGAGAGGACGGGGCGCGGTGCGACCGGGAGGGGGGGACGCAAGTGCATCTAAGTTTACTGACCTCCGATAATTTTTATAGAAACAAACAAGTGTATCTACCTATACGACGACATGGGCTGTGTTGCGTCGAATGTAGCGTGAAACTTGATTTTACTAGGCAGCAAATATCACATTGTTTAAGACAGCCTTTCTTTGGGGCTTTCATTAAAATATATTTTATTACAGGTACATAATATATTCCTTTAGATAAAATATTTAAAGCCAATATTTACCCCATATCGGGCCCGTATGTGTCGTAAGAGTGTCTTGACGTGGTAGAGCCACGCTGCTGGTATATTTTGGGTAAGTATAGCACGAATGTGACAGCTCGACCGGGGAAGAACCACGCTCTTATAGAACGCCAGCGTGAAATAGCTTAATTGTTTCTTATGGTGAGTGTAGAGATCCGGAGACCCTTTTTTACTGTAAACGATTCATTCCATTTTAATCCTCAGGGGTGACAACGCATCTGCGTTTTGATACTTAATCAAGCATAAATGTAGATGTCTAAGGGCCACAGCATCCACTTACCATCACTGTGTGTTCGTTTGGCACCCTTATTCTTTAAAAAAAACATAGAGGCGTCAAAGAGGGAAACTTGAAACAGAAGATGGGCAATAGAATACTCCTGATGATTACTTTAAATATACTTTATTAAAAACTGAGGATACCAACAAGCATGCTAAGCGTGGCAATGGCAACTATAGTGAAATACCCGCTATGAGGTAAGCTAAATGTATGGTAGGCCAATGTTTAACAATCGACTTCTATAGGTTGTATACAATTATATAATCAAAGGCTGTATTAGATGGATGGATTTTGCCATGTTGAAGAAAGCCTCTCACTATATGGAGTGACGATCTGGCAAAATGTTGAAAATAAAACAGTGTCAGTTATATAAGTGCTAATTTCACAATAAAGTCTGTGGCTAATCAATTCAAAATAATGGAAGTAAACAGCTAATCCTATGACACTAATGATTACTTAACAAAAATATGTTTAAACTCTGCGCACACCCACCACACCTTACCATTCAGCATAGTACAGTTAGTAATGTTATCAGGCAATAATGGATGACCTACAAATTACCACTTCATCATCATCATCATCATTACAGCCCTTCACAAGTCCACTGCTGAACATAGGCCTCCCCCAAGTAATGCCACAAAGCACGGTCCTGAGCCACCTGCATCCATCGACTTCCTGCATGTCTTACCAGGTCGTCACTCCATCTAGTGGGGGGTCGCCCTACACTACGCCTACCGGTACGAGGCTGCCACTCGAGAACCTTTCTTCCCCATCGGTTATCGGTTCTTCGAGCTATATGGCCGGCCCATTGCCACTTCAGCTTACTAATCCGTTGGGCTATGTCGATCACTCTGGGTTTACTGCGGATATCCTCATTTCTGAGTCTATCACGCAGAGAAACTTACCACTTCATACAATATCTAATATTATCAATGTGAAAAACAGTTCAAAACTGTTTGAACATTCAATGAAATTGTCAAGATTTTAGATATAAATCAGGGCACTACATAATGTGATTTTTGAAAATAATATTGAAAAATTATATTGTTATAAATACTTTTCCTTTTGTATCATTACACTTAATACATACAGAATACAAGTTTTGTTTTTGTTTCAGTTATTTATATCAATGGTTGGATTCAGCAAAAACAAAGAAAAAACCAAACTAAAATAGAACAAGAGAATCAACTTTGCAAAATAAGTAAAATGACATACAAGTTACTGAGTAATTATAAGGTTTAAAACTTTGTATTCAATATATTCTAATAATATATACACAAAAATACATCACATCACAATACATCACATACGATCCTAAAATTCATGCTTAGTCATCACATTATAACTAACTACATATAAATTTATTCACAAACAATAATCTGTACACAACCCTTATGAAGAACTAACTGAATAGAATAGAAACTTTTCTTTTCAATATAGGTAGAAACTTAGCAGGGCATTGAAAAAATAGAAGGGCTCACAATCATGTATTATATAATGTTAAACAATTAACTACACAAAACAAAGAAGAAATAACTTGGAAGCAATCACCCCATTCCTAGGGATTATTATTATCAAAGTTATTATATTATATAGATACAGAGAGACTGCAGTGATCTGTTATTGACAAATAATAAAATTACAAGTTAGAATAGGATATTTTTATACAATAGAGAATATTAATAATTTTTACGGAAAGCTTTTTACTTCAAAAGCAACAATAAACAAATAATAATAGATTGTAGTATTCAATTACTTACAAAACTCATTAAAAAAGAGCTTGGAAACCATCACTTTATTCCCAAGGGTTATTATCTATTATGTATTTGTACATAATCATTTTCATAATCTTTGTTTACTAAAAAATTTACCTAGTGCACAATTTTTTGGGACTTTGTTGTAAAAGTAACTACTTCATGAATGAATTAATGACTCGAGGAGTTGAGTAACTGGTATCACAAGATTAAGGCACATATAAAAAGAAAAACATATAGGCAAATAAACAGACCATACTATGCCACTACTGTTTTTTATAGAAGAAATGTGAAAAACTAGCACACAGTCTACCAGATGTTGAGAATAAGCTGTGACCCACAGATACCTTAATCTGTTCTGAATTATGTATCAAAATGTTAAAGTATTGTCACCCTTATAGAATTCCTTGTTACCAATAAAAGGGTCTCTATACTCACAATATGAAAAACAGCAGTATTTAGCTGCTATTTTACACCGGTGTTCAGCTAGTGCTGTGGCTATAATAGTATAACTGCAGATTGGCTCTACCTCTCTAAAAAGGCTAATGTTGCAAAATCTATCTAAAAATACTGCCTGCACATCGTGGTGACTAAAAGCAACTCTTTCAATGCATTCTTAAATAGGCCTATATCCTAAGTACTATTTGGTAAGACTCCTTATATTCTTCGGACTCCATCTCATAACGCAACATCCTCTAACCTATTTCTACTGCAAATTAACAGTGTGTCTGCTGCTGTCCTATTCTGAAGGGTATAGACCCAGTATTATAACACACTGTGAGACATTATATTTAGTGCTCCACAGACGACACCTTTGCAGCCTACTGTATTTGAAGATTCATGGGCTGCATTACCTATTTAACATGAAGTGGACATAAGTTTAGTTGTCACTACAGTTTTCTATTAAAAAATCCACTTCTAACTTTGAAAAAGTTAATAATGCATGGTTATGTGTTTTCACGTTTGTCCCATGTTGGTCTAGGACTTTGGGTTTATGTTTATATAGGATTTATAACAAAAAAGTACATATTTTAGCATGTCGTAAAAGACAAATAATGGTATCGTGTTTGTGATTGTGCAGGTATTTTAGCCAACAATCACCTCTTTGACAATTTTCCATATAATTACCAAATTATTTTGATTAGGCATGGTCTAAGTAGCTTGCTACTCTTTGGACTCTGCCTACCTCCTAGGAAATGCGTGATGATTTTGTACATTTCTGTATCATCACCATTGTGTCTGTAATTGAAATATTTTGTTTCCAAGCAAATACAGATGTTTGGCAAAATTAAATTTGTAGGTAAATTGAAAATCATAAGGACGAATTTTGAATACCAGCTCATACTTCCTGCTATCAGTTAATTAACTGTTTGTTCTAAACCCAGATATCATCTTTGCGTAAAAGACAAAGAGATTATTTTTTATCATATCTCACTATTTTAAGTACCTACTTTTGTTTGATAATGACCTAAAGCCGCTCACGAATTGTGAGTCAAGTTCAATAGTTTCGCCTTGAAATGAAAAAATATTTAGCATAAATGCATACCAACAAATAACTTATAGGATATAAAGAATTGTAATTTCTTTGCTTAAAAATATTTTGATCATTACATTTTAAAGCAATATACCACAAACTTAGTAACAATAGGTACTTCCAAGGTACTTTGTAATCACAAAACTTTACTTGTAGATTTTTAATTTTATAAAAATCGAAATGATTCCGGAACTAAATATGTAATAATCATATCAAGTAACAAAAATACAGAGATGTAAGAAGTATAGGGGTAACACAGATTATTAGAATAATTATTTATCATCAAAAACGATAGAAAAAGAGGTTTCTATTTGCTCAAATAATCAATTACGCATATACCATCAACATATTTTTCGCTATCAAAAGCATTACAGTGCAATTAAGTTGCAATTCACAGTGATTACAGCTCGCGTCGTGGCCCAAGCGAACTCTTACGAGGGCATTCAACTGAATAGGCCTAGCAACGCAAGTTATCCACAATGGCCATGACATCAAAATCGTTACAACAGCCTTCGGTCACTAGAGCATTGACTTATTTCGACACTATCAAAACAAAAACCAGAATATATTGACTTGATCTACATTCTCACTGACCTGTCAGAAGATTCGGAGCTGTCATATCTGTCGAAACATCGCTTCTTCCTATCATCACCGTCTACGGCGTTAATGCCAGCCAATTTTCGGGAATCTGTAGCGCCGAGCGTCGCGGAATCGTCCGAGACCACGCCGCTCGAATCACTTTTCTCACACGAATCACTCGTATCTAATTCTAGTTCGGTGTAGAACGATAAATTCATTTTACCACTGTCTAAAGTTTGCCCACTGCACTTTTTTATGTCATCATCCGAGGTGTCTGACGCGGTAAAAGTTAAATTGTTCATTTGAGTTCGACCGATGCGGTGTTCAGGCGACCCATCCGCCATCTTTGAGCGCACGAGTGTTTTGTCGGGTGTTTCCACACGGTGCCACGGATAACATTGGCGCTGCGGTCGCGCTGCAGACGCGGGGCGAACCACCGACGTGACGTCACAGCGGCTGCGCGGTCGCGGGGGCAGTGCACGTGACGTAACGGCCCCGCCCCGTGCATGTGCACGGTCGCTGTCATTGGCCGCGCGTTACGCAACGCGCAAGCCTATTCAAATAGCCGGCAGAAGGAAACGTAGGACTCGACGCAGATAGGGACGGGACGGGACGGGCCCATCCCTGCCCTAACAAATAATGCAGCGTAATGACCGTGCGCACTCACTGCTCACTGGCACGCACACGTGAACACGCACGAACACACATAATACCTCTGGCGGCGAACAAGTGCATAGAAATTAACGACAGGTTTTGCCCTCTAATGTCCAAGTATTCTTCATTTGGAGTCAAATGGAACATACAATGTGAAGCTTAAGTAGGAACGTCGCAGCATGTGGAAAGGAAAATGGCTGGGTTATTAATGTTAAATTGCACTTGATCTCGATGCAACATACAAGATAAAGTAACCAATGCTATTTAATGTCACAGGTGTCTACGTCCCGTAATTTTGATTTGGCAGGGAATCTGTCTCCGCATACAACCATTGTATAGGCTAGATAAGCTAGGTGCTTATATAGGTATCTAGTTGCTGTACGTAAGTAAGCAATCGATAATTTTATTGACCCTTTCACCCTTCAATAAGTTCACGAATCCGTATCATACAATATTTAAAAAAAAAGGTGGTCGTCAATTTAACCGTAGAACCGTTGTTTTTAGTATGGATCTATTGTCACAGAATAGTTAAATAATATGCTATTATCTCTTCTTTAAACTGTGCCTAGGTATGCTGTTTTAGATAGGTACGCGATTTTGTCGTAAAATGTGTGCCCATTTTGAATATTAATTTAAAAAAATAGGTGTTAAGTATATTACAAAAATATTGTTTTATACCCATAAATTTGGAGAACTTAATATAGGTACCTAAGTAGTTTTTGATGTAGGTAATTCTTTAAAATTCCAGTTGTAACCTTGAGCAAAGTATAGGTACCTATAATATAAATAGATATTATTCCCGAGCTTGTGATATGCCTTAGTACACAAAAAGAGACAAAAATTTAAAGGCCAACTTCAAACCATAAACAAATAAAAAAGGCACCTAAGATCGTGGCTTTAATTCATTTTAGTTCTTTGAATTCGGCTTTTAATAAAAGTTTAATTTGTGTCATAACTCAAAAATATAAAACTTCCAATACCTATATTCAGCACATTATGTTGTGTTTTATAAATTACCGTGTTAGTTCCGGGGCTAAGCGCTCGGTGTTAATTTCACAGTACGAGCAACCCGGGTTCGATCCCCGCCGGCACAAATAAAGTTGTGAATTGTAATTTTAAATACTGATTTACCACGTGCTCCGCGGTGAAGGAAACCATCGCAAGGAAAGCCGCATGTCCAACAAAATAGGAAAAAAAAATTGAAATGACAGGAGGCCTGTCTCCAGCAGTGGGACGTATATAGGCTGTAACCCTAACTTTAACTTTTATTAATTACCGTGGTGTTTAGTGGTTGCTTCGGTAATTTATGGGACTCATTTTTATAACGCATCCACTACCGTAATTATTTGACCTTTAAAATTAGAAACGACATGCAGTTGTTTTCCGCCGTTTTACGGTTAGAAGTTTTTCACATATCTTCATAAAGTGTCACGCAGCAGAGTCTGTGTTGAATACGAGAGTTTCTGAAAACTAAATCTTTCTAACCATTTCCTTTACTGAGAACCACTTGGTACTTACCTGGTCATCCACATATCTTCACAAAGTGTCACGTAGCAGCATCCGTGCTGTGCTGATTATGAGAGTTTCCGAAAACTAAATCTTTCTAATCATTTCCATTGCTGAGAACCACTTGGTAGGCTTGGTACTTACCTGGTTATCCACATATCTTCACAAAGTGTCACGCAGCAGCGTCTGTGTTGAATATAAGAGTTTCTGAAAACTAAATCTTCCCTAACCATTTCCATTCCTGAGAACCACTTGGTACCACATACCTTAACAAAGTGTCACGTAGCAGCGTCTGTGTTGAATATAAGAGTTTCTGAAAACTAAATCTTCCCTAACCATTTCCATTCCTGAGAACCACTTGGTACTCACATACCTTAACAAAGTGTCACGTAGCAGCGTCAGTGTGTTGAATATAAGAGTTTCCGAAAACTAAATCTTCCCTAATCATTTCCATTCCTGAGAACCACTTGGTAGCTTGGTACTCCTGGTTCCACATACCTTCACAAAGTGTCACGTAGCAGCGTCTGTGTTGAATATAAGAGTTTCTGAAAACTAAATCTTCCCTAATCATTTCCATTCCTGAGAACCACTTGGTACTTACCTGGTTACACATACCTTAACAATGTGTCACGTAGCAGCGTCTGTGTTGAATATAAGAGTTTCTGAAAACTAAATCTTCCCTAATCATTTCCATTCCTGAGAACCACTTGGTACTACCTGGTTATCACATACCTTAACAAAGTGTCACGTAGCAGCGTCTGTGTTGAATATAAGAGTTTCTGAAAACTAAATCTTCCCTAATCATTTCCATTCCTGAGAACCACTTGGTACCACATACCTTAACAAAGTGTCACGTAGCAGCGTCTGTGTTGAATATAAGAGTTTCTGAAAACTAAATCTTCCTAACCATTTCCATTGCTGAGAACCACTTGGTACTTACCTGGTCATCCACATATCTTCACAAAGTGTCACGCAGCAGCGTCTGTGTTGAATATAAGAGTTTCTGAAAACTAAATATTTCTAGCCAGTTGCTGAGAACCACTTGGTACTTACCTGGTCATCCACATATCTTCACAAAGTGTCACGTAGCAGCGTCTGTAGGTACTGAATATGAGAGTTTCTGAAAACTAAATCTTCCTAACCATTTCCATTGCTGAGAACCACTTGGTACTTACCTGGTCATCCACATATCTTCACAAAGTGTCACGTAGCAACGTCTGTAGGTACTGAATATGAGAGTTTCTGAAAACTAAATCTTTCTAACCAGTTCCATTGCTGAGAACCACTTGGTACTTACCTGGTCATCCACATATCTTCACAAAGTGTCACGTAGCAGCGTCTGTAGGTACTGAATATGAGAGTTTCTGAAAACTAAATATTTCTAACCAGTTCCATTGCTGAGAACCACTTGGTACTTACCTCGTCATCCACATATCTTCACAAAGTGTCACGTAGCAGCGTCTGTAGGTACTGAATATGAGAGTTTCTGAAAACTAAATATTTCTAACCAGTTCCATTGCTGAGAACCACTTGGTACTTACCTGGTCATCCACATATCTTCACAAAGTGTCACGTAGCAGCGTCTGTGTTGAATATAAGAGTTTCTGAAAACTAAATCTTCCTAACCATTTGCATTGCTGAGAACCACTTGGTACTTACCTGGTCATCCACATATCTTCACAAAGTGTCACGTAGCAGCGTCTGTGTTGAATATAAGAGTTTCTGAAAACTAAATATTTCTAACCAGTTCCATTGCTGAGAACCACTTGGTACTTACCTGGTCATCCACATATCTTCACAAAGTGTCACGCAGCAGCGTCTGTGTTGAATATAAGAGTTTCTGAAAACTAAATCTTCCTAACCATTTCCATTGCTGAGAACCACTTGGTACTTACCTGGTCATCCACATATCTTCACAAAGTGTCACGCAGCAGCGTCTGTGTTGAATATAAGAGTTTCTGAAAACTAAATCTTCCCTAACCATTTCCATTCCTGAGAACCACTTGGTACTTACCTGGTCATCCACATATCTTCACAAAGTGTCACGCAGCAGCGTCTGTGTTGAATATAAGAGTTTCTGAAAACTAAATATTTCTAGCCAGTTGCTGAGAACCACTTGGTACTTACCTGGTCATCCACATATCTTCACAAAGTGTCACGTAGCAGCGTCTGTAGGTACTGAATATGAGAGTTTCTGAAAACTAAATATTTCTAACCAGTTCCATTGCTGAGAACCACTTGGTACTTACCTGGTCATCCACATATCTTCACAAAGTGTCACGTAGCAGCGTCTGTGTTGAATATAAGAGTTTCTGAAAACTAAATATTTCCTAACCAGTTCCATTGCTGAGAACCACTTGGTACTTACCTGGTCATCCACATATCTTCACAAAGTGTCACGTAGCAGCGTCTGTAGGTACTGAATATGAGAGTTTCTGAAAACTAAATATTTCTAACCAGTTCCACTGCTGAGAACCTGAGAACCACTTGGTACTTACCTAGTCATCCATATACCTTCACAAAGTGTCACATATACAGAATCCATGCTGTGTGAATATGAGAGTTTCTGAAAACTAAATCTTCCTAACCATTTCCATTACTAAGAACAACATTGTAATTACATGGTCATCCATATACCTTCACAAAGTGTCACTTATACAGAATCCATGCTGCAATATGAGAGTTTGTGAAAACTAAATCTTCCTAACCATTTCCATTGCTAAGAACTACTTGGTATTTACCTGGTCATCCACATACCTTTACAAAGTGTCACGTAGGAGCGTCCGTGCTGAATAAGAGAGTTTCTGAAAACTAAATCTTCCTAACCATTTCCGTTGCTGAGAACCACTAGGTACTTACCTGGTCATCCGCATACCTTAACAAAGTGTCACGTAGCAACATCCGTGCTGAACATGGGAGTAAATATTGTTACAAGGTCTAAAGTGAATAATACGTCAATTCACTACTAGGTCTCTCAGAGATCGAATAAAATTATGCCAATAAGTTGACATACTATTTATACATCGTTAATCTTTGTCTACTATTTACATAGTGCCATTGTAGTACGTCTGCTTTTGGTAGGTGTCGCTAAATTTAAACAAAGTCCAAATCGTCGAGGTTACTGATCATTGTAGGGAGCCTTAAGCTAGACGTTTTTTTCATTTCTGTTCATTTAGTGTAAGTT